TTGCTGTTTTTTAAACACTGTAATCGATTACCATGATTGTGTAATCGATTACACTGTTTAAAAAAACAGCAAAAACTGATGCTTTAATGTGTTGTAATCGATTACGAGTATATTGTAATCGATTTACATCATGTAAAATGCACATGTCTGATTAGTTTATCAGCAAAAAACTAATGTTTTTCATATGTTTGTAATCGATTACGAGTATATTGTAATTGATTACATCATGTAAAATGCACAGGTAAGAAAAGCCAAATGAGATGGAAGAAAATGAGTAGACAATGCCCAAACCCGAACGGGTAAGTCCGGCTCGAACCCAAATTTATTGTGTCCCGGCCGGGCCGGGCTAAAAAGTCCGGTTTAACTAAAATACTCAATTTTATTACTCAAGCTCTATACCTTTTTGGGCCTTGGCAGGCCGCCAACTATACCCGGCCCATTTTGACAGGTATAGTCCAAACATAGTGCACAAGGATCATCTCTTAGATTCATAATAACTCACCCTTCCTACTCCATTTTCTCATTATAACTAGAGATGCACACCATATGTTAGTCTTCACTATCATTGCAAAACTTAACCAGATATCCTTGGATAATAGTAGTACATAAATCATTCAAACATTGCAGGAAATTAAATTTATGCTCAATGTCTTTATTATGATTACGAAACATAATTCATATGAGAGATTTGGGGGAAGAAAAAGAAAAGCAGGAAGCCGTTCAGAAACAAGTAATTTCCCTTTCATTGAAAAAGCAATTATATGAACTACTAATGGTTTATTTGCAGGGAAAACAAAAAAATATGTCAAACTTACACTCATGTGCATATCAACAGCGAGCAAGATGTTTTATAGCAACGAAGGCAAAATCCAAAAGTTAAAAAGGCAGGAAGCAGATGAAAGAAACCAGGTTAAGAAGGCCATAGAAGCTGACAATTGATATCAACAATAATGGCATGTATAAACTTCTATGAGAATAAATCAGGAAACCTATATCAGAAAAGACTCTTAACGCTCAGTTATATCAACATTTCTCTTACTAAGATACAACTATAGTCTCTGTCTCAATGCTGAGACTCAAATTCAGACTCCATGAAAGTACCATGCCAATGATGTGGTACAAAATCAATTATATAGTAAATTTTGGAGGGTCCCACAATCACAACAGAGTTTTGAGCTGGAGTCTTGGAAACAAATTACTTTAGACTCAAATTTAAGACTCAAAACCCCATTGTATTTAAGACTCTACTTTGACGTTAAGAAGTCCCTTAAAAATAATTCCAAGGCCAGTGAAAATAATGTCTTTTCCATTATATGATCAGTTGAGATTACTACCTCAGTCACAAAACAAAGTAAAAGAGTAGACTTGCAACATACCAATAACATTCACCATAACAAATCGTAAATATTTGACCATGAGTTAGGAGAGAGACATATGTGCCTCAATGAATGATAAAATCTCTAATATGATCAATCATCATAGATGCGCAACGTGAGCAATACACTTATTGCAAACAACTAAAACCTAGCACAAGTACATAATTTGCAAAATCAACCCTTCCAAAGTGTATATAACAACTAAAAAAGGATGGAAGCAATAATTTACTTGTAACCTGTCCTAAAAAATTCATCAAATTGATTATTTGAAGGACTGGCCGAGAAATTGAGTGAAGGAAGTGTTAGGAGGTAACTAGAGATAAAAAATAGACTTGGATGAGGGGAGAGAAACAAGAAGCAGTGAAGGGGAAGAAATCAATATGATAGAACATTATAGAAGGGAAGAGGATGAGAAAACTGTCTGTCCAAAACGGAGAGCAAAACTGGCGATTGTGCCAAACGACCCTGGCACTTCGTTCATAAACTTTTGTCAAATTAATCATAAGACGAGACTGCCTCGTCCAAAGAAAAAATGATGTCAAATAGAGGTTGGAAGGACTGACGAATAAATAACTGGAAAAAGAAATTACGGAAAGTATGACAGAATCATATCTCACAGTGACTTAGTCAAATGTAATTTTTTTATTATTTCTACAAATAAAGTATGGCCAGTTCTAACCTGCGAACTGCAGGTTAGTTCGCATTGAAACGAACTGATTATGTGCCGTTTGATGAAATTATTAGATTACCTGTTACTTGCCAGTGACCTTTTAGAAGTCGGTTTGGTGGGGGAAGACTTCTGTACAGAAGTCGGTTGGGGGGTGTGACTTGAGAAGTCGGTTTGGGGAAAACTCACTTCTTATAAGAAGTCGGTTTGGGGGAAAATGTGAAAAAATGTACATATCTGATGCTTTAATCGATTACTGTTATAGTGTAATCGATTACATACTAAAAAATGCACAGATCTGATGTCTTTAATATGTGGTAATCGATTACTAGAATAGTGTAATCGATTACTGTTATATTGTAATCGATTACATAATACAAAATGCACAGATCTGATGCCTTTAATATGTTGTAATCGATTACTAAAATATTGTAATCGATTACTGTTATATTGTAATCGATTACATAATACAAAATGCACAGATCTGATGCCTTTAATATGTTGTAATCGATTACTAAAATAGTGTAATCGATTACTGTTATATTGTAATCGATTACATAATACAAAATGCACAGATCTGATGCCTTTAATATGTTGTAATCGATTACTAAAATAGTGTAATCGATTACTAAAATAGTGTAATCGATTACTACTATGATGTAATCGATTACTACTATGATGTAATCGATTACTACTATGATGTAATCGATTACTACTATGATGTAATCGATTACAACTATGATGTAATCGATTACAACAACCTACAAAAGTCGATTTGGGCCCGTGTAACTTATCAACAGAAGTCGGTCTGGCCCAAACGACTTCTCACCTATGTTACCAAGGCCCAAACCGACTTAGCCAAAAATCCGCCGGGTACCCCAGTAACATATCCAACGGCTGAAATGATTTAAATAAAATCGTACGGATATTATTTATAGTTCGCTTAGAAGCGAACTAACCTGCAGTTCGCAGGTTAGAACTGGCCATAAAGTATAGTTAATAAGGAAAAGAATGTTATACCGCAGATAGAACAGAGAAGGTGCTTTTGTTAATAAGGAAAAGAATGTTAAGCACATGTTTATACCAATGTTTTAAAAACAGTACCGTACTAGCCGGTTCAACTGGAAAACCGGACCCCTAACCGGTATGTATGTTATACCGCAGATAGAACAGATCAAAACATGTTTAAAAACCAGTCGTTTGTAAAAAAAAAATTTTAAATTTCAAATTTTCAATTCTTCACCAATTCTTCAACTAAAATGATTGATACTTGGGTCATTTATTTGTATTTTGTATTTGTTAAGTAATAATTTTGGATTAATATATGTTTTGCACTTTAAACTTTGATTTTATTAAAACTGTTTGTGTGAATTTAAAGTAAATTATGAATTATAAATATGAATATCAACTTATTTAAAAAAAAATTTATAGGTTTATATATATATATATAAACAAGTATGTTCGATTTAAACGGCATACAATTTAATTACTGAACCACTGATTGAACCATTGTACCACTGTACCAGTACCCTAACCGATTTGATAAACCGGTACGATTTTAGTAACATTGGGTTATACCACCAACTATCGCTACATAAATGATTTAGTAACCAAAGGGTTATAACTACCGTTTTCTAATTTCGTTTAATATTTTTAACTTTGTAAGTTTGATGTTATTTGGTTTCTAAATAGATTCAACCCTATTCTATTAAAAAATCCATTTATAAATATTGACAGATTTAAAAAAAAACCATCTATAAAAGGCAATAAGAAAAATGCAATAAGATTCAGAAACTATTCTCTGTTAGACTGACTTTACTGCCATTACTAAACCACATGTCTAATTTAGCGGATAGGTATAATGTTACACGGTGATACTGATCTTTTATTTAATCACTGAAAAGAAATCATACTATAGACAAACAGTTTTAATATATTTCGTTTAAAAAAATAATTCACAACAAACAGATACATTCCACAATATTTTAAAATATGAATACCTTTTGCTAAATTTCAACATGATGAAACAATAAACCAAGACAAAAACAAAACCAATAACAGTAACTACTATTGGATAAATTTAGTATTTCAACACAACTGATCGAAGCTACAAATGTTTTTTTGAAAAGAAAGAGATTACAATATCTAATAGTAAATTTAATCAAAAGAAGCAGAATTTGGAACTCCTTCGAACCAATGCATAAAACTTAAGTAAATGTTAGCACAATGGCCAATGAAGTGAAACATGATAACAACGGATATATAATGTCATAGATGTACAACTTCATTAGGCGAAACGGACACAAGGAAGATTTTCCTGCAGCTAGAGCACAGGGTTTCCACTTTATGTCAGTAGATTTCTTCCTTCCACAAAGATCTTCTCTTTGACATAAGCATGGTCGCTAAAGTGTCTAATGGTAAAACGATTCAAGAATAAATAACATATATTACAATCGGCGATTAATATCAGCCATTATAATGCTATCTGTATAGAAAAAACGCGTCCATCAAACTATCAGAAAAACAGGACAACAATTATTTAAAAATCCAAAGAGATATTTTCGAAATTCGTGACAAATAAAATAGGATAAAATCCATGACATAAAATTACACTGCAAAATTTTCATACATTTAAACACACACCATACATAAAGATTCAAAGTTCCAAGTACCGCTCAAATTATTAACAATCCAAATAATAGGATACCAAAGTTAGCAAGCGATATGTAGAATTAGTGACAAGTTTAAGAACAATAAATGAATTTGAAACTTGAGCAACGAAGTAATCATTTCAGTCAAAGATAGACAAGAGAAAGACACAGTAGCTCAAAAGTGCTTGAAAAAAATCATCGTTAATTCTCAATATAAATAAATTGTAACTCTCATCACAGCCACCTTATAATCTTTCTCTAATGCACAATAAACCTAAAAAATTAAATTGCAAAGAAATTGGGCATTCAGAATGAGTAGGAGGTGTTTTTTCGTCATGTGAATTATCAGATGACAATAAAGATCATCATCACCATGCCAATAATCAGAAGAAAATAAAATCGAAAAAGCAAACAGATAAAACAAAATAAATAATATGAAATTAAAAAATCACTTCAATCGGTTTTGAAAATGTAGATAAAAATATAAGGAGTGGAAACCTCTCAGACAAATGCCTCGAATTGTCGTCACATTGTTAAGAATGGATCGGACTCGTCATCATTGTTCATCATCACAGAGAAATCCACAACTTATAACCTTTCCTCTTCTTACATCAAAGACTATTCAAAGAACAATAATAATCAAATATAGACAACATATAAACTGCAACAATGAAAAAGAAACCATAACTGACTAATAAAGAAGAAAAAAACAGAGAAAAAAGGAAGCGAATTTCTGATGCAAAGAAGCGGTGGCTATTGTGGCTGAACATGCTTTGATTTTATAGCCGATTAGGTCCGTCAGAGAGAGGCTAGGGTTTTGTGTTAGTTTTAGGGTTTCATAGAGGCTTGACCCGAATCGATTGGGCCAATATTGGAAATGGGCCGATTAAAATAATTGAAGTCGGCCTACAAAAAATCATCATCCTTAGATACTTAATTTTATGCTATGTGGAACTTAACCCGTATTTTAAATTGGAATTGATACTGTTTTAGAAAGGTAAGTAAAGTAAAACTACATTTAGAACTAGTTTACTTTAAATATCTCATATAGGAGAAGAACAACAAAAATGATAAATTTCTTTCTGAAACTTAAGAATTAAGAGTAATTGTCTACCGAAAATCCAAAGAATCATTTGTGGTTGTGCACCCCAGAAGCAAGAATAGATTTTCAAAGTACATAGCTGGTTAACATGCTGCACGAACCATATGTGACATTTTAGTAAGATAGTTTGAGGAAAAGAAAGATAGAGTAGCTCAGAAGTGTTTGATCATCATGATAAATTCTCAACCGATGTCAGCATGTCACTTTCATCACCGCCACCTTGTGATCTTTCTCTCTCTTTCATATTGCAAAAGATAGAGGTCATTAGAAGAAAATAATATATCTGAAAATAAAATAGGCTTATGGAAGTTATTATTATGAAATGACAATGAACTTCATATTTATATCATCATGCTACCCTACCTTCCAAAATATAGTAAACCATCACAAAATAAAAAATAAAAAAATACCATAAATTTATTTGTTTTTTTTGTAGTTTTAGAAAAATAAAACGGGGTATGGATTGAAGAAAGGAGTGGAGTTCTGTAGAGAAATGCCTCTGATATTGGTCAATGTTGTTGAGATGGAAAAGAGATTGGGCTGGTCATATCATTATTTTGATAAAAGAAAGAGTGGTGTCCATAGTTGATGAATGTGCCTTCAGAACTTGCTTCGGTTTTTATAGGAACAGGTTCCATTGACTATCTAACCGATCAAAATTTATTAACTAATAAAAATATTAGTTTTTTTTATTTTTTGTTAAGAACTTTTTGTTTTTGTTTGAGTTAAACTTTTTAATTGGTGGTAACAAAAAATAGAGATATGCTTAAAAATGACTTATCATTGTGAACTCATATTATTATGTTTTTTCTCCAATATTAGGAGAAAAACTGTTAGCCGATTTTATTGTGGTTAACTCTTATGCATTTAAAAAATTCGTATTTCGTGTTAGTTGTATTTATAAATGTCATTAATTACCTAAAATTCCAAAGAAAACAAACTAATACATATGCTTCTTAAAAGTGATTACTTCATTCTTAATATGTCATTAATATTAAAATGTCTTTCTATTCTCCACCATTCCAAACAACTAAAAAAACACCATATTTTCTACCTATTTTTACTCTAGGCTATTTTTCCTTAAATTTTGTTAATTGATCAATTTGGGTCATTCAAATTTTCTACTTGCACATTACTAGTCACTCCATCCGTGTTCCATTATTTAGTAAGGAATAACAGTTTCTCTCCCAAAAATTTTTCTGCCAATATTTTAAACCAATCAAATTTTACTAAATAATGTATAAAAATTAAAAATTATTTTCTTGTTATAAATTTGATATTCATGTTCAATAATAACCTGTATATTGATTATACTTTTATCTACAATCATTTTTCAAAGCACTCGTGTTGCTTATATTATGTTCGTTTTATTTTATTTTTTAATAATTATTGTCAATAAGTTGCTTTTACATCAAATGATAATCTCTTTAGTACATAAGCATTTTTTGTTACTTACGATTAACAAAGGACAGGATGATCCTTAAACTCTGGAACAAACACTTATGCTATATTTTCAAAATAATTAAACCTTAGTTTTAGGATATGATTATATGCAAAGACAAAAAATTTATCAATAATTAATTATATTTATAAATTACTATTTTGTTAATGATGAAAAATATTTTATGTTTATGATTAAAATCAAGAGAAATAAAACAAATTAAGATTATGGTTGTAATCAAAATGATTAACAAAATACTGTAATCATTTTTTAGTACAGTAATTAATTTGTAGGCTGTAATTAATGTTGTTTTTTTCTATCATTTTTCTACTGAAATAATTGTTTATAAGTTAACATTTTGAAAATGATCATTCTAATGATTGCTCTGAATATATTGGTTATGATAAAAATAATACTGTGTTGAAATTTATGCCTTTTGAACGCTCCATGTATTGAAATTGAGTATGTAACGAGGTATTTATATCTAGGATTACATATATTTAAAGTTTATAAAAAAAGGTTTAGATGAATTAACTACATTTTCTCTCTTAATTATATAAGTGGCATTGTACTCAAATTATATCAAAAAATCCATTCAATAAATTATATATTTAATCATCAAAATAAATAAATCCTATATATATTGTTTACATTTCTCTCTCTTTTCTCACCCTTCTCATGTTTTTCCAATACTTAGGTGGTAGGTCATTTAGTGATATCGAATTAATTTATTCAGTTAAAAGGAAAACTGAAAATAAATTTTATCCAACACTTCCATTGAATTAAAGTTTGTCTATTAATTAAAGTTTGGAAAATGATATATTCTCCTAATAAATCATCATACTCACAAAAAAAGTGACATGTATCACTTGTAAACCAATCACTAATAAATAAAGTATCACTTTATAATATATATCATTTTTTTGTGGTAAAAAATTTTTGTAGAAAAATATAGTATTACTCTTAGCATTTTGGACCAAATTAGTAGTTGTAGTGAGGCACACATAAAAGTAATTCTAGAGTGTGAACTTGTGGAGCAAGGGAAATGTTGGCACAGTTGGGAATTGTGCTCACCTTTGCGTGTCCCATTCAACCTTTTTTGGTCAAAAAACTCAAAACTTTTTCATATCAATATCCTTAAGCCGCCATTGAATTTATTCTTCCTTGGGCAACAAGCTCCAATGTTAAATTTTAGATGGCATTTGAGGTTAAAAATAACTATCGGAATGGATTCGGCCTATCCTACGTCATGTTTAGACTAATTTGAATTGGATTAAAAGTCTAGATACAATTTATCCATGTTAAATTATAGTTTAAGCCCACCATAAGCGGGTTGTGGGTTGTGGTAAGCCGACCCACGTAATAGAAAAAAATATTTATTTAATTTATTAAATTGCTTACTTTCATTTCCTAATACAATATAACTAATAACTTCATTTTAATATATAAATATTTGGATACTATAAAAAATAACATCATATTGGTTTATAATAATGGTAATATAGACTCAAATTTAAAATGAGTTTTTATGTTAAAATATAGTCACTGTCGTAATATATGATCATTATGTTTTACTTTTTGTTTGAACTTTGAAGATCATTCATATGCTCTTTATCAACACTTGTGAATTATTATGTTAAATTTGGTTGTGTGAAATTCTCTATTATAAAAAATTATATTGTCTTTTAATTTTGTTGTAAAAATTATTTTCTTTATTATGTTTTTTGTTGTATAAATTAAATACACAATTAAGAAATGAAAAGTGATATTTAAATAGTTTAATGTCTTCTCAATTGATTTGATATACTATTTTTTTTATTATGCTTAAAATGATATTATGTAAAATATGAAAAATATGATCAGGTTTAATTTTATAAATTTATTGAAAATTATAACGCAATATCTATTCTATATTTTTTATTATATCTAAATAAGTCAATGGATGATTGTGCGGTTAAGGTATGAGTTGTGTCTGTCTTGGGAAAGTGGTAGGAGTAATTATCCATGCAACACATTGATCATTATATGTATGCCTGCTGCAGAATGCCTGGATCCTATAAATTGAAGTTATTGTCATAAAGTTATAGTTTTAAATGTAACATATTATTATTGAAAAATAAATGATAATAGGAACAACGTTATCAAGTTTTTCGAGGAAAATTAATTTTTATATATATGATATATAATCAATTAAAATGCTCATTTTATTTTTTATTCTAAAAAATGGGAAAAGTTGAAGGAGGAGAAGATAAGATGAAAACAATAAAAATGTAGATTAAAAGTATATATTACCTTCTTTTTTTATCGGGAGAAAGATAAACAAAGGAAAAAAAGGCTACAGAGAAAATATAGATAAAAGATGTGTATACCTTTATATACATTTTATCTAATAAATTTTGGGTCACACATATCATTTTTAAATGTGTTTTGTGTCATTATTTTGATTAGCCAAATTAAAGTGATATGCTTCAAGTAAAGTTTATAGTTATAGACATATTTATTATAAAAATTATTGTGTAAATATCAAATATCTTATTTCTATTTTTATGATGGGCAAAAATAAAAAATAAAAAAAATACAAAAGACATCACTCTTCATAGCATATCTTATAAATAAGGGTTATGTCCCCAATTGTGGACACAACAATAAAGTCATATTTATTATCTTCATCCCATTGGAATAGGAACTAAAAATTAAGGATAGTCTACATTGGAAGATCATTAATCCATTAAGAATTTTATTTTCATCAAAGAATATTTCATGGATCCTTCCATTACGCTTCTGCTTTCTAATTATTCTTGATTATTTGATATAATTAATATATTTATATAATGATAGTAATCTTGTCATATTTAATATCTTCTTTCATTTAGATTACTACACTTTAAACTCTATTTACAAAAGATAGTCATACTACTACTAATAACAATAATTAAATAGATGGAAATTTAGTATGCGTTTAAATACTATTTCTTAAATTACATATTTGGTTCATATATATAATGCATAAGTCCCTAGACATGTAAAAAAATAAA